GTCAGCTAATGTACATATCGAACCACAAATGTAAACTCTCATACATTACATTGTGTACAACAGCAGCAGCGTCCATACACTTTGGTTGGCAGTGCTTGCGTGAGTACGAAGTGACTTTTAATGCACAAGCTGCTGCCAGTAGCCTACAAGAGTCATTTTCAAAGACTCTATTTACTTGTGTATCCTTAATCCCTCTCTAATTGGGTGATAGTGTCTTGAAAAGAATTATAGCTAGATTCAGAGGAGGGTTTCTCTTTACCTGTTGATGATTACCAATTTAAGGTCCAGAAAAAAAGAAGTGTATTGTAACTTTTTGTCAACCCTTGACGTAAAGAAATTACTTTTGTCTTTGTGATTTGAAGGAGGAAAAAGGTATGATTTTTTTTTTTTTTAGCTTCTTTATTTAGAGATCCCCTATCAAGATAACAAGTGTTAACAAGAAATAGCGTAGAAATCCATCCTTAATCTTAGTTATATTAGTTGACATTAAGTGATTAAGTTGGCATGCAACAACTAAAGATGGCCTATAGGTTCATGTGTTTCAACCATTTGGTTTTTCAAGAAAACTCATCCCCCATGCTTACCTACAAGAATTACCATTGAACTTGTGCAAGTGAATAGACGAACCCATGAGGAAGTATTTTTCTAAAATAACTCTTCAAAATTTTTTTTTTCTTTAGACCCTTAGTAAATCCCTTGTACATCCATGCGGATGAAGAACAACTATCCATAACGACTTAGGAATCCAAGGTAAACGCGAAAGAATTGAGTGGGGAATATCAATTGAAGCCATGGTTTGAGCATGCTATGGCATTTTACATTAGAAGACTGGAATCATATGGTTTCCCCTTGCTGCGTCTTTGATGGACTGTGCTGAAGGTTGTACATCATTTGCCCCTTCATTGGTGGATTTTTTGGTGTCTTCTGCATTACCCTCGGCATCTTCATCGCCTGTAGATAGGTATGCCAAAGCAGTCACTACATCACTAATCAAAGGTCGAGTTGTAGCTTCTTCCTGGAGGCACATTGCTGCAACTGCAAGAGCTTATAGTGCCTTAACAGGGTAGTTTCCTTCAAGCAAAGGATCTGCCATTAAATGAAACTTCTTCTTGTCTTTGAACAACGGTTGAGCCTGTAATCATTCAGTTGCAGAAGCACATCAGCCACAAGGATCTAGATACTATCTTTAATATACTACCAGTGTTTCTTCTAACATACCAGATGGAAGCTTTCAATTAATCCTACTAACATTGAAAATCGAAAGAGAGAAACTTCAAAATCTGTTGTAACCTTGGTTGTTAAACTTACCCACTGAATCAGGTTCTGTTCTTCACTTGGTCTTGAATTGTCAATGACTCTCCTTCCTGTGATCATCTCCAAGAACACTACGCCAAAGCTGTATACATCAGACTTAGTGTCAATTGGCCTGTTAAAGCATACTCAGGCGCGCAGTAGCCATATGTTCCCATTACTCTGGTAGATACATGGGTCTTATCACCTGTTGGACCTAACTTGGCAAGTCCGAAGTCAGAAAGCTTCGGATTGAAGTCTTCGTCTAAAAGTATGTTAGATGCTTTAAAATCACGGTAAATCACTGGAGGGTTTGCCGTTTCATGCAAGTATTCTAGCCCTCTTGCTGCGCCTTCAGCTATTTTCATCCTAGTGTTCCAATCAAGAGGCTTTCTTTCTGGACCTATGTCTGGAAAGAAGATGGTCTGATCAGCAATACCCGTACAGAACCTTGTTCAGTTGTTGTATTAGCAGAAAGTCTTCCAATGCAATAAATTATCTTCAATATCAATAGCTTTACTTGTAATTTATTATCCACCATTGAATTTGGACTCTCAAGTAAGTTATAAATTTTGAAACATCAGTTTACAGAGCCGAATACTATGTGCATCAATTAGTGGACTGGCAGATACATAGCTGTGCATATAGTATTGAAGTTTCGTATGACAGTTATTATCCTGCACTGCAAGAACAACTAATTCATAGTAATACTTCACAATGAATTGTCAATGAACCTTGAAGCATGATTCTATTTGAAGTGTTTGCCTGAGATATACTTTCTCAGACAGTCCTTGAGGTACTTAGGCAGGTTAGATCTACCAGAATCGGAGTGTGTCATATTCATTGACAATGACAAAGTAAACAAGATTGTATTTGTCATACCGAGAAGGTGATCTTCAAGTGAGCCATTGGCCATGTATTCGTAAACTAACACCCTCTGATCACCATCACAACAGTATCCTACCAAATTGACAAGGTTAGGATGATGAAGAAGACTCAAAATCAGGACCTCCACAAGAAATTCCCTGTTTCCTTGGAATCCATTCCTGTCTAATTGCTTGACAGCAACCTCCTTAGTAACCTGGATGAGGGGAAGAAAAGGGAAAAATGAGAGAGTCAGCGCATCCAAAAAGCTTCTGGGAAACGTGGCAAACTCTGGAAGGACAAAAGAAAGAGAGAGATGAAAAGATTGTGAGAGTACTGTATCTTTGCCTTGAATTTGCCCTTTGTACACTCTACCGAAACCTCCTTCACCAATCAAACGCTCAGCATTGAAGTTATCAGTAGCAAGGGATAATTCTCGGAATGTGAAAATCTGAGCTGAAATATTCTGTTTTCCGATTTTTTCAATTTCTTCACATATATACCTCCGTTTGCTGCTATCTGCATAATTACTTGATAAGTTTAACCATCTGAATCAAGAAAAAAGGGAAAAGGGAGGAGGATATTTCCAATTAATCCCCAAAACAAAAGGAAAAAAGTCTACAATTAATCAGGTTGTTGGTGTGAAAACATTGGTTTACTGATTTAGAATGACAATCAGCTCGTGTGCATATCCATCATGAAATATTCCTTGGTGACAATTGCTGAACTTTCTGGAAATCTAAGAGCCTTGCATTTGATCGAATTTATAGTAACTGGAGGAGATTTTATCATGAATGTGAGCGAAGGAAATACATTACAAATTGAAAGAAACATTTTTTCTGTATCGTTAATTTAAGAGGACAATGCAAACGTTGAAACAAGTCATCTCTTGGCAATCTCCTCTTATTGAAGATGGAAATGGAAAACAAATATGGGAAAGAACTAAAATTGGTGAAAGGAAGCCATTCAACAAAAGAAAACTAAAAAAGCGGATCTTCCTGAATCTAACAAAAATATGGCATCTGTATACATGAAAATTACCAGATTTAAAGGAAATGTTAGCGAATGAGGCTATAGTCCTTGTTTCTTGGTGCTCCTGGATGCTCTTTTTGAATTCCTCAATGCTTTTTCTCAGAGACCTTTTGTGATTTTTTTCTTCTGACAAACAACACGAGAAACAGTTCATCTTTTTCTTCTGCTATTTCGTCTCTATCATATTTGGTCCCGAAAAACATTGAATCCAGGAACCAATAATCAAAGATTCCTCCTTTTCGACAAAAGTGCAATCTTTTTTGAAAAGATTAAAGAAGCACAGTCCAATGTGGAATGAACCTTCAAAGTTTGAAACTCAGACCAAGAAAGATAGTTTTTTTTTTTTTTTTCAGCCCTGAAAGATCCAGCTTTTTTTCTGGTCTCTCAAGGAAACAAGAGGAGTTCGTTAAAATGGGTTATTCTTTTTCCTTCCAAAATCAATGTTTCCGGAGACTCGACAAGGACATCTGGCAAGCCCAATTTTTCTAACGTCAAAATTTGGAAACACTAAGAAAATAAATCCCATTTTAGCAACAAACATTTCATAGTGTTTTTAATTAATTGTCTAAGACTAAACTTACGTTGGGTCATCCTCTCTTGTGTGGACAATTATGGTTATTTCTATTCTTATACAGGTTATATAGGTAAATGTTGTAATTTTTGTAAGCCAATTGCATTTTGCAGCACCCCTAAAAGTCTCCATGGTGGCTTTTTTTATTCTTCTTTGTCTAGAAACAAAAGAAAAAGCTTGTGTTTTTCCCTTTAAGCCAAAGCAGCTGAAATCCTCATTCTCTTTCGCTGCTCTTCGACTCACGTGGAAATCATTTCTTCCTTTTCAGTTCTTGCTGCTCAGTTCGTCCACACACCATGCCTGGGAATGGTGCACCACTCCACTCCCCCCCCCCCCACCCCAGCCAAAAGATTACCACAAAATTTGGTAAATTTACGGGATTCTAGTATAGTATAAGTGACTGCATTCTTTGATCTCAAAAGTTACTTTCTTTGGTCTCTCTTTTTCAAAACATTGCAACAGGCATTTAACAAAAAAAGACACTGATTAGCAATCTGCCTATGACCCGCAACAGGCTCAAGTAATTTGAATGTATGAACTTATCCCATATTTCATGAGAATTCCCGACAGAATACCATAAAATTTGTTGGAAGAGTCTCAGAGGCTCAGAATCCAGGCAGTCCAAAGAATGAAATATAAAAAGGCAGAAGTTGGGGATTATGAGACTGGAAAGATAATTTCTTCCCCAAACAAACAAGTTCCTAACACTGTAGCTTGATTGGATATATTTTAATTATGCAGACAAAAATATGAAAATGAGAGTGAAAAACAAAGTTAGATTTGCTGAATAAACAAACTGTGTTGATAATGAAATGCAGTACTCAAAACTTGAAAGAAAGTACAATGAAGTATGAGATTGTTGAAAACTAACTGATACTACGCCGGCTGAAGAAAAGAAATATGCAGACTGAGAGCAATGAGTATACTGCCCTGTTGAATAATTTTAGCATGATATACCACAATCTTGCCTTCAACGGTATAGTTACTGGGCATAATTGGCAAAACAAATTATTATTCCAAATTAAGATTTTGCGCAGGTCTATTAGAACACAAAGAAACAAGAAAATTGCATTCACTGATCACAAGCATGTTAAACAATTTTGGCTAAAAATCAAGTGAGAAAGCATCAGACAAATAAAGTAACAATCACGAAACAAAAACAACAAACATGGTAACAGTTGCTGCTAGAGCGATTTGGTCTAGTCGCCTCTACTGCTTCTAAAATACAGATTAGTTACATCCCCTATGTTTTAGCAGCTGGAATAAAAGCACTGTAAAGACAATCACAATTTTCATCAACACTTACAGACTATAATCCTCCTCTGTACCTGGAAATGGTGCTCTCAATATTTCTTATCCTAGCTTCAAGTTTCCATGCTAGAACATCCCAAGCTTCATGACTACAGCTTTTCCCATTTCCTCTATCAACTCCGAACATCTCATGAATTACAGCCCCCGCTTCACTGCTGTCTTTTATTAAATTTGGTAAGCTTGGCCCAACAGGAAGATGACAAAAGGGTTGGGTTTCAGAACCTTCACATTTATGACGTGATCCACAACCAACCAATCTACCCGTTAGGTATACATCAGGTGTAGTCTCAGTCTCATGTGCCAGTGCCATTCTTGAGCTTCTTTTTTCCATTTCAGTTTCTAACTTAATCTCTGAGGGCTCTACCTGCATTTTCTGAACAGTAATATTCTCAGAAATTGAGGAAATTGGACCTTCTAGTTGAGAATCTCTCTGAGATTTGTCTTTTCCATTAGCATTGTTCCCCAAACTTTCAAACTGAACGCATCCATTCCTGTCAACTGAACCCTTGGCTCCCACTGTGTTGTGCTTAGGAGAAAAATCTAGGGGAAGAGAACCGTGATTATCTGATTTTCTTCCAGCTGTATTTAGCAACATTGCCTTATATTCTGAACCAGTTAATATGACTACATTTTCAGTTTTCCCACTTACATCAGTTACTTTCCTCAAACGTTTGACTCTTGTGTGTCCATCCTCATCCTCCAACTCCCTTTTTCCCAATATGTTTCCCTTGGTAGGAAAACCTGGTGTGACAACTTCATTATTGTTTGGTTTCTTTTTATCCGATTTCAGCAGTACTCTTTTTCCTGAACTCTTAACTCGATCTGCAGTGTACTTCTTATATTGTGCGCCAGTCATTCTGATTATATTCTGAGCTTTGTGGTTTCCATCAGCTCCTTCCTTTAATCGTTTAGCTTGTATTTGATGATCTGCATCCTCTGAATTGCTTGTTCCTGTTTGATTGGGCTTGGGAGGAAAACCAGGGGGAACAAGAGAAATGTTATCTGATTCCTTTTCAGATGAAGTCTGTGCACTCTCTTTATCAGCAATGGCCTTCTTTTCTGAATCATTTGGTCTGACTGTATCGCACATCCTAGGTAAACTAGCTGAAGCAGGTGCACCACTGGCAGATTTCTTTTGAGAAGATTTCAGTAACAACTGCTTTTTCAAACCCTTATATCTCGCTCCAGTCACAGAATCTACACTTGCAGCTAGCTGAACAGACATGGACTTCCTCCACCACACCAGGTACTGAGTAGTAACATCCGGCTCAAAGAGGCGAGATGGTATATACAACCGCTCATCTCTAACTGTCCTAGTGTAATTTTCCCAGGCTAAACTTATATTCAAATTAGCTCGCGTTACTTGACCAGGAAGACCTTGATCAAAGCCAAATTGCATGGCCACTCGGTGTGGGAGGTACTGCATAATGCAATCCGATTCTATCCCAACCAGTTCACTCACCCTCAAGCATCTGACAAGCGCCTCTAGATCTTCATCCATGTCGGAACCAACCAACACCCATTGTTCCTTCTCTTTGTAAATGTAGTGAGGCAGTGAGTTTTTGCATCCAATTGCATAAGGCCGCCAAAGAAAAAAATCAGCTGCTTCGTCAATGGATAAGCTTACGTCTATCATATCCTCCATCCTCAGGCCACTCCATTTGGCGAACCTTGGCTGACCATGTTCTAGAGTTACAGGCTTTGGAAGCAATGTTAAAAATCTCTCCAATATCCATATCTGAACTAACTGAAATGGGGCTGAAATTAAAAGTTCCAAAATCTTATCTTGCTCATTAACATTCTGCATCCTTCTAGAATCAACAAGAGCCTGTTTCAACTCGCTCAAACTAGCATAAAGATTAGCAAGAATTGCCGGTGCCTCTAGCTAGATGGATTGCAATAGGTATAACAATTTTTTGTACAGTATCATCACTAGTTTTATTGGGGAATACAAACCTGGACAACCACAATGCAAGAAACGCTTCGTGCTCGATCTCATTTCCACTGTCCATGAATTTAGTCAACCAAAGACTCTGCGAGGGCTTTTTAGATTTCGACTTGGCCAACTCGGATCTCGCTAAAAGTAGTTTCTTCTCTACCTCTGCAAATTCATCCGTATCAACGGGCCTAAAAACTGGGTCACCAAGAACAGAATAACCACCCAGGATCATCATATCTTCCAATGTGATTGTAGCTTCTCCCCAAGGGAAAACAAATGTATTTGTGTCAGGACACCATTTCTCACCAAAACTAAAAATCAGATCCTCATTTCGGGTATTAAGGTAGGTAGAATTCATTATAGCATCAAATATACCAGCTTTTCTCCAGGCTGCACGGTGCAGTGAACTCATGCGATCAACCCATGTTTTCCAATCCTTTTGCGGGTTTCTCCACCCACAAAAGTTCACTTTGAGCTTGGATTTCTTGAAAATGCCAGCAAAGCTGGATGTAGCTCCTGGAAAGCAGGTGTTCGGGGAAGATCAAAAACAGGCCCGTCGATTGAGGTGACCGAGGGAGTCAGGAAATGAGCTATTCGAACAGTCGGTTCTCCCCCGGTTGGACATACCATCTCTTCCCTCAGTTCTGCCATGAGCTTCTGAACTAAAACTTCGGCCATTCCAGAGAATTTCACCGATGAACTGATTGAGATTTACTTCTGTTACAGCTGTGCCATTTGCGTGCGAACTGCGTAGGGGTTTTTATTTTCCCTGTCGGCTGACTGTGCGAGTGTGTGCTGACAAAAGAGACGAGTGAGAACTGAGACCGTTTCGTTTGTCATTTGTGTGTAGATGCGTGAGTGTATTCTGACAAAATAAAATAGAGGAGCAAAAAACGCGACATTTGGTATGTAGATTAAAACTGGTGGCAAAAGATACAAAAAGCTTTTGATATACCATCTAATCTTTTTTGGACTGAATTCTCTTGTGGTTTCTTTCATCTATTATCACATCTATTTATCCTAATAATATTATATGTAAATTAGATGAAATTCAAGATTGTATTTAGTTAAGTAGTAAATATATATATATATATATATATATATATATATATATATATATATATATCATCACCTACATTCTTTTGTTTTTGAATTGTGAATATTTAACTGAACACGATACACATTCTAAATTTTACTAATTACTTCTTCAAGCAATACAGAAAGTTAGGACTTTACCATTTTATAATTACTGTAGACATATACATCGTTAAGTGAATACAAAACGTATTTCTCAAGAACCTATACATTTGTAAGGTAGACATAAAGACTTTTTAAGAAGCACAAGAATACATGGTACCATGCCACCACTTAAGGTTAGCCACAAATATTTCTCAAAAAACAAAACAACGTTTTTCAAACAAACAAATTAGTCAGTAGACCCTCGTAAAGTAATTATTGTTAGACGATTAATCTTGACACTTTTTGATTATTGTAATCTTACCATGCAAATTGTATGGTTTGATTATTGTCGTCCAACAAAGCGAAGTGAAATGAATCTCCATTCTATTCATGCAAGCTTGCAAAAATGGTTTCTAATTAACATTTTTGGGTTAATTTCATGGATGGCGGTCATAAATTTGAGACTCATTACTATCTTTGGTATGATCTGCAGGTCCTTCTGAGCTTGAATTCGCAGTGCTAATTAATGGTCCTTCAATTCCTACTGGTTGCATGCATGCATGCAAGGAGGGTTGTACTTGTACGCTTCTTGAATTGCTGCAGTTGTTGATGAAGGCTTAACTTTAATTGAGAAGCTGAAGAAGTCTTGGATTCATTAGCACCAGATTAATGGCTACTTCCACGATTATTGCACCCTTGCAGCATCCCTCCAGGAGCTTGATTTTGTTCCCCCAAGCTGTTAAATTTAGGCAAAAAAGGCAAATGCATGCGTTTGCTAAAGACTGTTTATTGTGTAGAGTGACATGACGGGGAACCAGAGAAGTACACTACTGTTAACTTGTAACTTTGTATGTACACATAAAATTGATGGGTAGAGTGGTGTGATTGGGTACCTAATTAATTAAAGCATTACGGTTATATTTGTGTTCTAAGCCAAACATAAGGGATCCTTATATAGGGTGGCAATATGTTTTGTACCAACGATACTCTGTTTTTTTTTTTTTTTTTAAGCCATTACATTTGTGTGTACAGAAAGAAATAAAGAGATTTTCATAAAGTATGAGATTATATTTTACCACCTACAATATTCTTTTTGAATGATGATTGATGAATATTTATCCATGCACCTTGCAGACTATAATTTTTACTAACTTCTGTAATTGTATTGGCAACTTTATTCATACCAAAAAAAAATTAGAATTTGGTCTTGCAATGGATTCTAATGTTACTAATTATTCACCTTGTATTTGCACAGGCACTTTTTATGCTCTAAAGTTTTTATTTTTTTAAAAAAATGATATAAAATAATTAAGAATACTATTTTATAAAATTTTATATGCTAATTGTAAAACAAACATTTGAATTAAATACATGAAAGATCGTTAATTTATAACAACTTAATAATTAGTTTCAATCAAATCATATCCACCAACTGGGGTTGGGCCAAGTGGTAAGCAGCTTGGTTCCGCTTAAGCAGGTCTCGGGTTCGAAACCTGGTGTATGCAGCTACCCTTGTTGGGAGACTCACCCACCATAGCCAGGTGTGCGACCCGGGTCGACCAATGGATTAGTCAGGGCAAAGCCCTGGATACCGTGGCAGGCAACAAAAAAAAAATCAAATCATATCCTATGATTCAGATATGTTTACTCTAATTAATGGTGATATGTCAATATATGTGTAATGCAGATATATTAGGAAATAAATGTGATTCTTTCGCAACTAAAATGAATTTCAAAATACAAACTAATAGATAATGAACTTATTATTTGATCAAATTATTAAAAACTAATAAAAAAAGTAATTTGGGAGAACTTTTATTATCCCGTATTTATATGAATACTATCTTAACCTATATTGAATTCCAATGGAAAGAGAGCATAAAAATTGATAGAAAAAAATTTAGAAAAAGAATGACTATTTATACAATTTAAGTGGACTTGTATCAGTGATATGCTAAAATTGAAGGAATATAAATTCATTGAAAAATGAAAATTGTCGAAACTTTAGAATTACAAATAAATAATCAAGTCAAATAATAGAAGGCATTTTATAATGGGTGCCCAATAGATACTTGTTAATACACCAAACTCTACCCAACCTATTATGTATATACACATACTAACAATGACTACCTTCTCTTGCACTTAACATTTTTCCTATTTAATCTTATCTTTTCAAAAATCTAACACCTAAATATATCTTAATGGGTGCACAATGGGCACTCGTTAGACAGATCCATAAAGAAAATATAGTCAATGTAATTGAAGAAATTTTTTAAAACATAATACTGATTGATTAAAAAAAAGAAAAGCATAATCAATGTAAACATATATAATGTAGGGAAGTAATAGTTTTAAATTTACTATAAGTAAGGAAATATTAGAATGCTAGAAAAAAAAAGTGCATCCAAATTTTAGTAATGATAATAAATAATCAATTCAATAATAGGAATAAAGAATGTGATTGTAGAGAATTAAAAAAAGGAAAGCTATTAACAAAAAATAAAATAAGGCAAAATTATAAAAATTTATATAAAGTGAGTAATTAATCGATTGTTTGAAAGTTACTATAAATAAGAAAGTAATAAAGGATTATAATTAATTGTTACCACAAAAAAAATCCACCAAGAAACATAAGCAAATACAATATTTTTCTATGTGGTGAAAAGATAAAACTTCCACTTGGTAAAAAACCAAATTAGCCAATTTCTTTTTCGATATAGCCAACTTAGTAACCTATAAAGGGGAAAAACTATCTACATGAGCATTAATATAGCATATTTTGTCCAAATATTAGTAATGATAATAAATAGTCAAGTCGATAATAGGAATTGAAAACGAGAAATTGAAAGAAAAGATATGGGTTGATTAATAAAAAATAAAGAAGATACAATTAATATAAACTTATATAAGGTAAGTCATTAATAAATTGAATGAAATTGACTATAAATAAGGAACTTTAAAAAGGATTATGATTAACTGTGACCAAAAAAGAAAAGAATAAAATCTACAAAGATACAAACAAACACTCTTTTTCTTATAATTTAATTTACCATGTGGCATGAAGATAAAATGTCCACTTGACAAAATTTGAAAATAGCCAATTTACCTATCAAAAGTGAAACTAAATATCATTTTATGCGCGCGTACACACACACACATATGTCTCTGTGTGTGTATTTGTCCTCAATAGCATGACAATTTTTTCAAAAAAAAAAATGTAAAATTGGTAGGCCCTCTGAGTTATGTAATTTTTTTTGGACATGTTCTTTAATACCATAATCTTATTATGAAAATTAAATGCTTGTATCAAATGAAAATACATTACTCACAATTAAGTTACTCAAGGATGATGATAAAGCATAAAGAATGTGTGTTTGATAAAATTGAAATCTAAAATTTGAAATTTGAATATATTAAGTTACTGAATTGTTAAGTATAAAATCATAACATTCGAGTATATTTTGTGACGCCCCGCGGCAGAAGAAAAGGGAAAAATTTCTGGTGAATAGTGTTTTGTGGAGAATCCGGCCAGAAGCCGTGCAAATTCCTTATATTTTTCTTAAAAATTCCCTTTTCTTTGACAAATATCACTTTATAATGGCCCTACTACTCAATCACCCCACAATAAGTGCCAATGAACTTAGAAAGTAGGGTTTCACTTTTGGTTTCAAGATTGGAGCAAAATTAGGGTTTTCACGATTTTCGCCGGATGAATTTTCGGTACGAAGCAAGGATCAAATTTGGTAATTAAAAATGACTTTTAAGTGAGAAATAATATGTGATTAGAAACAATGATACAAGATTAGTGAATAGGAAGTGAAAACCCTAGTACGTGTGTTTTTTAGAAAAACGGCGCGAACCGGCGGGTACCGCGCACTAGCGATTGAACGCACCACTTGACCACTACTTTCTTACCATACAAGCTCATTACTAATTGAGCAAAATATCTTCCCCCTCATAGCTATCTCTTAACCGAAATATGTGGCCAAAATGCAAGGAGAAGAAAGAGAAAATTTTGTGGTGGAAGGTGAGCCAAGTGTTGGCAAAGCTTGTGGTCAAGATTCATCCTAATCTCTTGCCTTAATTAACACCATGAGCAGCCTTTCTTCTTCATTTTTTTCTGCTCCTTGGCCGAGAATAGAGAGAGAGAAAGGGAGAGCAAGAGTTGCACCATTTTCTTCTTGATTTACATCATCCAAGTGAAGAATCAAAATTCTAAACCGATTAAAG